GGGCTCGGGGACCCTGCTGCTGAGCCTGGAGGGCGGAATCCTGAGACTCATGATTCAGAAAATGACAGAACGCGTCGCTGAAATCCTCACAGGTACCATCTGCTGATGTCCTCTAGGTCCATCTCTTGTTCAGTCAAGTCAACAAAAGTTGAGGTTCTGACCAGGGCATACAGAATACAACGCCCAGGGATGTGGGGTAGCCCAGAATTCAAAAATGTACTCCAAGTCTGAAAAGGCAGCATTTATTTTTCTTATTAGGAAAAAGAAAAACAGTGAATTCAGGATAAGCTATGTACACATTAGCAAGTTCCTTAATTTTCTTGTCCCTCAAAAGTCTCGTCAGAGAAGTGTGAATAAGAATGCCTCTATAGGAGAGTTTAACAGAATATTATAGAACATTTGTAGAACACTCTTCTAGGTCCTTGACAGACACAGCATATGTTATATGAAGTCTTCATCATGCTCACCCAAGACAGGTATTATTTTCTACAATATAAATGAGGAAATGAAGAGTCATAGAAATAACTTGCAAAAATCACATGTTACTAAGTGATGGAGCTTGAATTTCATCCTGAATTTCTCAGACTCTCTTGTCTCTATTTTTCTCTTAAACCACATTATCATGGTAATGTTTACAGCCCCCAAATTCTATTTCAAGTAGAAGTTAATGAGTTTTAAAAATCATTTTTTAAAAATTTTCAGATATTAAGCAAATACTAGTACCTATGGCACCTGGTACGGCAAAACTTTTTAAAATGATCCTCAAATGGCGGAAGTCTGGGAAGCACTAACTTTTACTGCAGTGTAGTATAGATTTTCATGGATAGCAATATGGAACAGTTCTATGAACAAGTCATGTTTTTCAGTACTCTGGCTCTTCCAGCTACTGTTTCTTCAATGTGGAATAGTAGAAGCTTCTGCTTCCTTCTCCATCTGTTGTCTTACTCATGTCTCCTGTCCTTCAATCAGCAGCGTGTTTACTTAGTTCACCAGTATTCCTTGAGGTTAGACCACATGCCAGGCATTGGGCTAGGGGCTGATAAATGCTGATAGGTCAACAAATCCTGGGAGAAATCTCCCTAAATGAACAGTCTGAATCAAATCCCCCTCTGATGTACACGCTGGGCCAACATCCATCCTGGGTTACACTACAATACATTTTTATTTAATTTAAATGTCTTTTTTCTCCACTGGACTTGAGTTTTGTTCTCTAAATAGATTAGAAAAAAATGAGTTAAATAGTGAAGAATAGGACTTACTAGTCAAGATCTGATCAGACTGTGGGAGAACCTCAAATCCAATAAGTGAACAAAACAGTCGGTTGAACCACTGAAAATCGCAGAATGGCCTGGGTCTGGAAGTCACACAGGCATGTTTGAAAGTAACTCTTTTCCTTCCTATTCTGTGGCCTTGGATAAACTTCTTAACTTAAACTGGAGCATATTAGTTATCTATAGCAGTGTAACAAATTACACATTTGGTGGTTGGAAACACTATGTATTATGTCTCAGTTTCCATGAGTCAGGAATCCAGCGTCAACTTGGCTGGGTGATTCTGGCTCAGGGTCTCTCATGAGGCTGCAGTCAAGTTGTTGATGGGATTGTAGTCATCACAATGTGGGAAGATCTGCTCCCAAGCTAACTCACGTGGTTGTTGGCAGGCCTCGGAAAATCCTCTTCCAAGCTCATCCTCACAGGCCTGTGCCAGAAGAGAGTGAGAAAGAGCCCCCAACACAGAAGCCACAATCTTTTTACAACTTAATATCAGAAGCAGCATCTCATCACTTCTGCAATACTTTGTGTATTAAAAGTGAGACCGTGCTCAAGTAAGGGGCATTACCAAAGGGCATACTTATTAGGAGACACGGATCATCATCGGGGACCATCTTCGAGGTTGCCTGTCACAGAAAGTGAAAAAAAGTTTTTACTTCACAATACCATAATGGCGATTAAGTAAGATAGCATATCTCAAATACGTGGCAGGGTGTTAGGAATCTATTTAACAAATTTCCTTTTTTACTAAACTGATTCAAGACCTATAGCTAGAAGGGATCTCATTCCATAGAGTCAAAAAAGTTGAGTGAATTTGTGCAGTCAGAGGATTTTTTATACAATTATTAGATTTCCAGTAATGGTGGTGTGTTAATCACTTAGAATTATTTTATTTTTCATGTTCAGAGTTATAAATGTTAAACTTCAACCCTCCCTATTTGAAGAAGAGAAATGTGACCTGGCACTGGGTTGTGTCTCTCTAATCGGTGAGATGTTTGAGTACATAGACTTGTAAGCCTCAGGTCAAAAATGCAGTTTTAATATAGGATAAGCCCTGATGGCATTTTGCTCTAAAGAATCCAGGTGCTGCCTGTATTATTAACCACATGTCAGCCCATTAAAAAGCATTTATGACCTAGAAAGAGGCTGGTAAAAGCTGCCATGTTACCCAGCTACAGAAAAGAGAAAAAAATCATCAGTTATTTCAAACCTGTCTCTCAAGTAAAAGGAAGTTTTAAAAACATGCAGCTCAAACTCCTGAAGCTAGTCTCAGAAAATGCTTGTATAATTCTCTACCCAAGGAGAATTTCTTGCATTTTGGAAAATTTGAACTTCCTTAATTTTCCTTTGAAATGGATCAAGGTTTTGTGTTTTCTGGCATTTTAGTAACTTAGGGCAAGGCGGCAGGGGAAGGGGCGGGGTGGGGCAGGCAAAAAAAAAGAATCAAACAAAACCAATTTTTGTCTCCCTGACATTACTGAGGAAACTTGTGTCCATAGTACTTGAGATTACATTGGCTTTATAAGAGATGAAAATTCCACAGGAACAACAAAAAAAATAACAGTAGTCCTAATAATTTTTGAGAGCCAGCAGGGCAACCCTTGACACATGGTATGTCGTGTAAAACAGAACAGAGCAACACATTTTTTTAATGGATCAGGGAATCCAGAGAGTCAACGACTTATTTGAGACTAGTTCAGATGTTTCTGACATTCCAGATCTAAAACAGGAGGCGATTCCTGT